TTTCCCCCCCCCCCCCCCCCCCCTCTCTCTCTCTCTCTCTCTCTCTCTCTCTCTCTCTCTCTCTCTCTCTCTCTCTCTCTCTCTCTCTCTCTCTCTCTCTCTCTCTCTCTCTCTCTCTCTCTTTCCTTCTCTCTCTCTCTCTTTCCTTCTCTCTCTCTCTCTTTCCTTCTCTCTCTCTCTCTTTCCTTCTCTCTCACTCTCTTTCCTTCTCTCTCACTCTCTTTCCTTCTCTCTCACTCTCTTTCCTTCTCTCTCTCTCTCTTTCCTTCTCTCTCTCCCCTTCTCCCATATCTCACTCTCTCTCCCATATCTCTCTCTCTCTCCCATAGCTCACCCTCTACTATATATCCCCCTCTCTCTTATATATCTCCCTCTCCTTTCTACCTATCTTCCCTCCTTCCTTCATTCATTCTTTCCTTCGTTCCTTTCTTTCTTTCTTTCTTTCTTTCTTTTTTTTTGTTTCTTTCTTCTTTCCTTCCTTCCCCCCTTTCTCCCCTCCTCTTGGTTTTTACTGTTGACCAGCAAAAAATGGAATGGCTCTTCCACAAATGCCTTCCCTGTCAATTAGGAGGCCTCTCCAATTCAATAATATTTCCCTGACAATATACCATACCATTTACAGGAGGGAAGCATTGAGTTCAAGTACATGAATGTATGACAAGGAAACATTCTATAACAAGCATATACAGAAAGTCCCCAACTTATGAACGTAATGGGGACTGAGAGGCTGTTTGTAACTCCATTTGTTTGTATATCCAAAGTCGGGTCTCCATTGCTTTTTTTCCCATGGTTTTAAAGTTTTCTTTACATTAAGAATACCTGTACATAAATCCCAATAAGTATTTTTGATGGATTGATGCACAGGTAAAGTGAATTTTAGCACAAAAATTGGTGGTACACGAGGACACAGTGAATAAATGCTTTTGTGTTTATGGCAGGAGGGCAGGCGACTGAGGCGAGTGATGCGCACAGCTGAGTGAGCGCAGCAGCACCACGGTGGGGCAGACTCATGAACTATATTCGTGCCTGGGAAATTTGAAGTTTGCTAGTATCTTTCAATTTTTCTGATTTAAGTATTTTGAAAAATTTGTTTGTTTGTAAGAAATGTTTGTAAGTAGAATGTTCGTAAGTAGGGGACTTACTGTACAAGCTAAATCTTAGACAAGAGAAGGGAAAGAATATAGGGAAATGAGAAAAAAGAAAAGGGGATATAAAAGGAAAATCAGAAAAGAGAAAAAATGGGAAATCATAAAAAAAAAAAAAAAAAAAATGCAAGGAAAAAGAAAAACAGAATACTAAAGGGAAGGCAAATCTCAGATAAAATAACAAAAAGAATAAGACTGAAGAAATGAGGAAGAAAAGAAGCCATGAAAGTAAAAACAGTAAATAAAGAAAGGAAACAAGGGAAATAAATAAAAAGTGAGAAATTTATACCTGCATACTGGAGTGGAGGCAAAAGAGACAGTATTTTCCACCAATCAGATACTGCTTCTCTTCAGCTATGATGCGATCACGGAGATTGACAATATCATCGTACCCTGGCAGGAAGATGAGGATTGCACCTGCAACATTCCAGGAAGAATTGTTATGGATAAGGCAAGCTTTCAGCTTCTCTTATTTCTAGATTTAAGGTTCAGTACTAGGAAAGTGAAAAATACAACACCAGCTAATAATTAATGCAAAAAAAAATGGTTTACAAGTCCCTGAAAATAGGCTAATTAAAAACAAATCCTTCCCCATCAACATAATGAAGAGTATGCCTTACCAGGGGGCTGAGATGTGTGAATCTTGTAACACAGTGCATACACCAGGTCTACATCAGCTACCTCCTCTGATATTGAGTGGTGGTATGCATCCAGCATTCGCTTCTCCTCTTGCGAGAGTTCAGTTAGGGGCACCACTGTTGAGGGACCTCTGATGACATTCCCATGATTTGAGGAGGAGCTGCTACCTTGCACTCCCTTGCCTGAGATGGTTAGCAAGTCAACCCCCTCACAGGCACTTCAAAAAGGAAAGAATTTGGAATTAGTGCTGCTCATATGATCAGGCACTGTTGATATATTTTAGAAGTCAGCAGCATTAGTGGTATTGTAAAGTAATAACACCACAGCTATTACCATGTTTCTGGTTGATCTCTGTGACCTGGCACTTGAGGTTCTCCTTTTTACCCGCATTACTTGGGTATGTATGTTCCATTAACCTTCTTATTGGGTAAGAGTTATATTAATGATATCATGATGGCAAATAAATCAAAACTTCAATACCACAAAGACCACATATGAGATCTGACATCTTATCATGATTAAATTCTATCAAAGAAAGTGAGCATGAATAGGGAAATGCTGTGCTGATAGATTATCAAACTGCATATAACCTTGTGGCAGAAACAGAGGAACATTATACAAAGTACAAGTCAAGGTTGGTCATTTAGGATCAGATGATCAGATGATTCTCTAAATGTGTTTCAACACACTATTGTACACAAAGTTCCATGCATCTAACAAACTCTACAAACAACAGCACAAGCCATATTGTCGGAAGGAAGGTTCTTTTCCTTGGGCATTAGCAATGAGTCATGCAGGTGTTAAATAAATAATAACAATTAATAGTTCTAACTAGTAGTAGGATCATTTGAAAAAAATGTTAACATTCTTACCTATAGGCATGCAATAAATCAAGAGTTTCCTGCTGTCCTGTTGACTGGGCCCAGTCAGCTGCAGTCCAGTCATTTGCTGCACGCAAGGTGAGAGAAGAGCCCAAGGCAAGCAACTGCTCGACTATGTCGACACGCCCACGGCCAGAGGCTACCATGAGTGCTGTTGCCCAGGTTTCGGAGTGCTAAAACACAATAAGAAAATTTTATGTACAGTATCTGATGTATGCTTTTACTTTTGTACCTTTGCAAATATAGTTGAAGATTAAGAGCTGATCAGATGTACTGATGCATTGCTCTCTAAAAGAGCAATGAGGATGTTGGGAAATGTACAAAGACCACAAGGAACTGATGAACATATAAATAGGACTGAAACTAACACAGAAAAAAAAAAAAAAGTGTAGCGGAAACAAGGTCCAATACACTGGGAGAGCAGTTTGCTAGACAGCCAGGCTCAACTGCCTCCCTAGGTGACCTTAAATTATTTGCAAAGATAATGTGTGCAAATGACTGAACACCTACTTTGTGCTGGAACCCCAAGCCCAGCAAACACATTTCAAAGCCATTATAAAAAAACAATATTGATAGGTTTAGTCCTATTAAGGGGATGTCCTGAAAAAGGCCTACCTTGCTCCACTCATTTGATCATTAAAAAAAATGGTTTTGGATATCTAGTTGATTTCTTTTGCATGTTATAAAGGAAAAAATTGTGATTTGTCTCATATATATCTTGAATGGGGCATCCCCCCTCACCCCCTAAAAAGAAAAGTAAAAGTAATTTTTTTTTTTTTTTTATGTGCCAGAAAATCCCATTTTTCTAATTTATCACTGAGTTGCCTAAAGTACATTCTTCACTTAGATCATCTCGACGGGAAGGTTGTATCATGCTCTAATTTTTAAATTTCAACTCCTTTTTTTTTTTTTTTTTTTTTTTGACCGCCATGGTGAACTACCTTTTAATTTTTTTGCCCATGCATATATATATATATATATATATATATATATATATATATATATATATATATATATATATATATATATATATATATATAGGTATCTTTTTTTCTTTTCTTTTTAATAAGAAAGTAAAGATTCCTGTCTGGAATGTTTAATAAATGCATTATATCATAAAGACAAGTAATCTAAATCAGAATTTATAATTTTTTTTTTCTATTTACTTTTTGAGAAATCTGATTGTGAAATGGAGAACTGTGGATTGCAATATCAGTACAAAATTGTTATATGAGTATGGTTCTAGTTTGAATACAACAAAACAGTTCAAGTTTGAGAATATGGAAGGTCGTGTAAAATCATTTTACGGCGAGAATTTCCAAGGCCACTGAATTCTTTTAACAAGGGGGGAGGGGGGAGGTGTCACTGGGTGGTTTTAATTTTAAAGAAGGTTGATATGTATGTAAACACATGCACATATGATTAGCCGTTTTAATCATCCTCATTAATGGGAGTAACCATTTTTTTACATAAAGAAAAAATATTTGTTGCCCCAGATAAAATCATTTTCTTTATTGATATTTGTAAATAATAACCGATGGGCATGGAAAGCCATTACAATGTAGGAGTTCAGTCATTTGAGCACATTATCTACGACCAATGGTAGTGTCCTTAGGTTGCATTTTTTACTGGAAATAAATGAAGAGGGTGTGTAGGCTGTATGAACTCCTTACAAAGTAAATGGATGAGAGCGATTTCAAAATTCCATAGTTTTTATTTTTGAGCGGGTATCATTGTGTACTATCATCTTCAACATAAAATAATCAATATTTCACTTAATTTTTCAAAGTTCAAAATTACAAACATGGGGTGTCCTATGTATTGAAGTGCTCCTTACAACAGAAATGACAAATATCAAATCAAATTGACAGTAGACAGTAACGACCTTTAGAGTGAATCCAAACCGAGATATTATCATCATTAGTTATATTTTAATTTTTTGACATTAGTGCTTCATACTCTGTTCACATATAGACCCTTACATAAGCTCCAGCACATTAGACATTTCTTCATAAATCATTGTGATTTACATTTTTTCTGATATTGGTATAAAAGTGTTCTTTGCACATTCACAAATTTATATCTATGCACAATGTTATTGTCAAATGCCATATGCAAGATTGCAGCAAGCAAAAGTCCATAAAGGTGTACTTGGCACTAATTACTTTCGTCTATAGTTTACCTGCTGGCAATTATGCCCTTGCGCCTCCCAAGAAATAACCCAGTTTTGACTCAACTGTCCTTTGGTAGTTTCCTCATTCTTGTATGTAGAACATACGCTAGCTACTCAATTAGACCCTTTAACCCCCCCTCATTTGGGATGGTCCCCTTTAATACAGAATTCTGAAAGCAGTTAACCTTAACTGTCCTGTCATTTGGCCCAGGAGTCCACATGTGTAGTGGAACTTCCTGCTTGACTCATTCTAGAGCATTGTGACATCTATTGCTGTACCTTTCATGATGAGTTGGTTTGTTATGATGGCTATAGTCATGACCTGGCAGTAAGAGGTTAACACAAGTCTCATTTTACCATTTTGCTTGCTCTGAAATTTTGTTGGTTCTTCATGGATAACCAGTCCTAATGCTAGAGTGAGTTTACTAAAGTTGTTTAGCACCTCCTGTTAAGAACGTAGTTCTTTGTATCTTTATATCATCTGCATACAATATAGTTTACCTCCAATCATGTATATCAGTCTCAATAGTAATATTAGTGCCATCATTTTACATAGATATGGTGTCAAAAGATACAGGTTTGAATTCCCAGATGATTTTGGAATAGGTAGTATTATGCCTTTTTTCCTGGTTTTCAGCAATCTACCCTCCAACTAATTCATGCTAAATAAATCTGAGGAAGAGCTGTTCTCCATACTTACAAATAAATTTAGAATATCTTTGTTACACTATCTATTCCTGGCACTCACATAATTGGTTCAGGTAGACAAGGAGGTACCAAGGGAATGGGGGAATGGTCTTTGTAGGGAATTGTATATGCCATACATTATGAGAATGTTTATTTTGCATTTATATTTTCATACATATTCACAAGAAGAAAAGAGGCAGGAAAAAAAAAAAAGATCCTCTTGTTTAACTGGCTCCGCAAAATAAAGGAGCACAAGAGGATGGGGCAATGGGGGTGGGTTTGGAGGAGTGTAGCTAGAAGAAACTTGCTACACAGTTACAGAATTACTTCTTTATACACCCTGCCTTCCACTGACACTGAAAAAAAAAAAAAACTGCAGAAAAATAGCACACCTATTTTTGAGAGGCTCTGCTCTACAGATATATACCCACAAACATACACATACATACATGCATTACATAAATAGATACATACATACATACATACATAAACAGATAAACATTGTAGATACTAACCTGATAATCTGGAGACACATTTTCCGACATAATTAAGTACATCATCTGAGAGAATGCTTCATCGGCACCAGTGAGGAAAGCTTCTTGAATGCATTTGTCCATTTCTTCTTTCAGAGTATTATCCACCTCAGCTGTAAAAAGGTAAATATATTTTTACTGTTAAATATTTTTGGTAATACCTTTTATATCAAATTAATTTAGCTTTTACTTTTATTCCTTATTTTTATTCTACAGTGATTGTAAGCATTTATTCTTGCTATAATGAGCCAAGCTTATCAAAGATGGCAAGGATATGCACTAGGCACAGTTAGCCTGCTCCAAGTTATACACCCTAAAGTTGCTTGCTTGTTTGGCTCTAGGCACAGCTATTTACTTTATCAACTCTTAAAAGTGTAGTTATTTGTCTCAATTACTGGAAAATTTTGTATGCCACAGCTAAGAATACATAGAACAGGATAAACTTATCCTCCTGTGTTTCCAAGTTATTCTCAAGTAGCAAGCTTGATTCTGTGCACAAAAAACACATCAATACTAGGATAAAAGAGAGTTCTTCAAACACATCAAGCAAAAAATAAGAGTATACATACTCTTACATATAACCACAGCACATTTTTTGCTTGTATAATGTATCATACACTATACTCTCAGAGAGAATTACTTGTAATGCCACTATATCCATAAATGCAAGCCTCTAATAGGTGAAGTTATACAATTATCCAACATCAAAACTCTTTGGATAGCTAAGCATTCTTGCTTTCCCTCGTACATTTTAGATTATAGAAAAAAGGCACAAGAAAAGTAACACAAACTGTATTTTCTGAAAAGTATGATTCATCATTTCATCATAATGTTATGAACAATACAAATAGCAGAAAAAAAGAAAATCAAGGAAATGGGTTAACAGGTGAGATGGATAATACTAGTAACTGACTCCAAACCTATGGGTAATAAAAATGTATAAACCTGACTAATTCCTTTCATTAGGCATGGTATGACTGATGTTGAGGGGGATAGCAAGTAATTACCACTCATAAGTCTTTATTCATGGGCAGTGAATCCTTCCTTTATTGGACACATGCTTTTTTGTGCCAGTAAAAACATTAGTCAGCTTATATAGAACATATAAATTCTTATTCAACCCGTTATATCTGGATGCACTGCTGCTATCACGTGGCCAAAAATATGAGTTTTGGGCTTACTTGAGCAGCCACTCTGACAGCAGCGTGGCTCGTAGGCCTGGTGCGCACAAACATTCCTCTGTGGTGACAAGACTCCGTGCCTCCCTGCCTCCCCTTTGCAATATTATTTTCTCTTCCTGCATAAGTGTTTTGAGGTTCCCAATGTCTGTATTCGCTAGCTGATCTGTTTTATCCAGATGGTAACACTATCCCTTGCATAGACTCTATTTCATCTCTCTTGGTAGTCCATAACTCAGTGCAATAATAATAACAATAAGTAAC